AATAGGATTTTAAAATAGAAGATGAATTTACTCACAAAACTGGAAATCCAAGGGAAAGCAGTTGCTTCTTTGGTTCAGATGCTGGACAATGTCTGCAGACACCTAGGCTCTCCTTGTCTTGGTGCCCCAATTGCCATGTTTATTTTGTTTTGAATAAATGTTTTATTTTAGAATATTTACAGATAAAAATTAGAAGCTGGTGCAGAGAGTTCCCTAATATCCCATACACTGTTTCCTCAATTATTAACATCTTACATTAATATGGTGTTTTTTTGCAATTAATGAACCAATGTGATATGTTAGTACTAACTGAAGTGTATACTTTATTCAAATTTCCTTAGTTTTTACCTAATATCCCTTTTCTGTTCTAGGATCCTATCCAGAATGCCAGATTACATTCAGTCCTCTTTTCTCCTTAGGCTCCTCTTGGCTGTGACAGTTTTTCAGCTTTTTTTACTTTTTATGACCTTGACAGTTACAAGGAGTACAAAGACCAGACAAATTACTGGCCAGGTATTTTGTAGAATGTCCTTCAATTGGTATTCATCTAATGTTTTTCTCATTATTAGTCTGGGATTACAGGCTTTGGGAGGAAGACCGCAGAGATAAACCACCAAACCATGTTGATTTTGTCTTCATATTTTCACTTCATTATCATAGGTAGCTGCTGTGAGCACTCCAGATTCAGGGCTACATTCACAGATGAAGAGGCAGAAAAATGGAGAGAAGAGCCATGTCTGTCCCCTCTTTTTCTGAGACAGGCTCTTGCTCTATTGCCCAGGCTGGAGTGCAGTGGACAAAGTGCTGGGATTATATGATGAGCCAGCAGGCCTGGCCTGTCTGTCCCTTTTTAAAAAATCAGCAAGGTCACCCCTCCTCCTGACAGGCTCAGAAGGCAGGGAACAGGATGCTCATTCTTGTTTTAGACTTGATTGGGACTGAGCACATTGTCATTAGAACAAAATCAGGCTTCTATGAGTATAGAAGGATGTAGGCCAATGAATGGCAGGCCAACAACTGGTCGTGTCTGCCCCAAGTATTTATTCTGTATGAGACTGCACTGTACTGGGTGCTATGAAAGGACATAAGAGATGGAGCATTCTATTACATTTTTCCAGAAATTATACATTGTGATAACATTCTCATTTGAAGGCATTATTGTAGAAGGATGGAGTCATCCCACTGAATCTTTGGTTACTCAATCAAATCCATCCTTAGAAGATAAACATTGATCGTATGTCACATGTGCTATCAACTGTAAAAACCAGTTCTAAAGAGTTATTCCTGTCTGGGTGCAGTGGCTCATGCCTGAAATCCCAGCACTTTGTGAGGCTGAGATGGGATGATCCATTGAGGCCAGGAGTTTGAACCCAGCCTGAGCAACATAGTGAGACCTCGTCTGTATAAAAAAATACAAAAAATTAGCTGGGTGTAGTGTTGTGCACCTGCAGTCTCAGCTATTCAGGAGCCTGAGGCAGGAGGATTGCCCAGGAGTTCAAAGTGATAGTGAGAGATGATTGCATCACTGCACTCCAGCCTGGGTGACAGAGCAAGACCCACTTCCTAGAGAAACAAATAAATAAACAAGTAAACAGTCATTCCTAAAGCAATGAAGCAATGATGCATTTTGAGAATAAGCATTTAGTCAGCTTCCCCAAAGTGGCAAGTTGGAGAGTGTTACCCTTTCCTAGATGTCCATGATTAAAAGAAAAAAATCAAATCTGTCATATTATAGTCACATCTTACAACACCTTGCCCTTGACATGTTTATGACCTAGATGAGGAAACTAACAGAGGTGGAAGGAGAGCAAACAGCGCAAGACTGTTTAATATGGTGGTAGGTTATGTATTACAGGCAACATATTCTGTGGGAGTTTATTTATTTATGAGACAAGAGTCTCACTCTGTCGCCCAGGCTGGAGTGCAATAACCCGATCTCACTGCAACCTTCTGAGGGAGTTTAGAACAGACAAAGATCAGAGAAAGCAGGCATCACAGAAGAGCTTCGGAGAGGTGGGGCCCAATGTGGCTGTGAAGGATGGTCTGGCTGTCCTTAATTTCCCTCCTCCCCTGCCTTGAGACCTGGATTCCTCTAAAATAGCTGTTTATTCTCTCTTTATTAAGCACCTAGTTACTTATTTTCATTAATTCTCAGTTTATCTGTTAAGGTCTTCTGATTTTTACTTTGTAATCTTAATTAAATAACTTTAAAACATTTTAGGAGAAAAATTGCTCAGGCTGGAGTGCAGTGGCCATTCACAGGTGTGATCATAGCATACTGCTGCCTCACACTACTGCACTCAAGCAATTCTCCTGTCTCTGCCTCCAAAGTAGCTGGTACTACAGTTGCATGCCACCAACCTGGCTAAATTACTTTTTTGTACAGTGTTTTATATGGTAGTCTTTGCAGCCACATAGATCAATATTTGAACTGAAGCTCTAGTACTTAACTGGCTTTGTGATCTTGTGGAAATTTCTTACTCTCTCTCATTCTATTTCTTTTTTTTTTTTTTTTTGAGAAGGAGTTTTACTCTTGTTACCCAGGCTGGAGTGCAATGGTGCCATCTTGGCTCACCGCAACCTCCGCCTCCCGGGTTCAGGCAATTCTCCTGCCTCAGCCTCCTGAGTAGCTGGGACTACAGGCACGCACCACCATGCCCAGCTAAGTTTTTTGTATTTTTAGTAGAGACGGGGTTTCACCATGTTGACCAGGATGGTCTCGATCTCTTGAACTCGTGATCCACCCGCCTCGGCCTCCCAAAGTGCTGGGATTACAGGCGTGAGCCACCGCACCCAGCCTCTATTTCTTATTTAATAACAATCCCAACCAGGCTGTTGTGAGACTGTAATAAGATGATGCAAGGGGACACAGATCATAGTGTACCCCCAAAGAAAGTGCTCGTTAATGGCATCTACTGTGATAATCACCATATCAATGACAGAGGCAATGGTGATGTTAACAGAAACTCATGGAAAGGGATGGCCAGGAAGAAATACCTACTTGGTTTTCACCATTTTGTCACTGTTAAGTTTACATGAATGTCTGCTCACCAAAAGTCAGTTTCATTTCCCTTGACATTTTAATAATCTTTATGTTAGAAACAGCAAAGATGGACTCAGACTCAGGGAGCTTCTATTTTATCATCTGTGAAGGCATCAACCTTGTGACTCAAACTGTTGAGCAGAGATCAGGTAATATTCTACATGAGACACTGGCACAAGCACAAGAGATCTTAAACATCTGCAATTAGTTGACAGTTTATTAGGGCTTGGAAACCAATCTAAAGAAAGTTATGCTTTAAATCAATGGAAGTTGTCAATGAGCCTGTGAAGGAATCTTTGCTAGGGTCCTCAGGCTTCTACTGCAACTCATACTGCCAGCAACAAAAAGAGAAGCCTCCCAAGCAGAAGGTCAATCTAATTCAATCAAGTAAGGCAGAACGATGGTATCAAGTTTCCACATCACTGAATGACCATGGGTTTAGAGGTGTGTACCATAAAATAACCGTGGGTGTTAGACATTTAACAAGTTGTTTTATTCTTAATTGCTGGCATTTGCTTAACTGTTTTCTTAATTCTAATTTATGTTTTTAAGCTCCAGTTTGTTTACATAGTCCATAGTTCCCAATTGCCTTTATTTAAATGTTGATTTAATTTTATTTACTTTTTTTTTCTTTTTCTGAGATGGAGTCTTGCTGTTGCCCAGGCTGGCGGGCAGTGGCATGATCTCAGCTCACTGCAACCTCGGACTCTGGGGTTCAAGTGATTCTCCTGCCTCAGCCTCCCGAATAGCTGGAATTACAGGTGCCACCACCAAGCCCAGCTATTTTTTTTGTTTGTATTTTTTAGTAGAGATGGGGTTTCACCATGTTGGCAAGGCTAGTCTCAAACTCCTGACCTCATGATCCACCCGCCTAGGCCTCCTAAAATGCTGGGATTACAGGCGTGAGCCATTGTGCCTGGCCTATTTATGTTTTTATATATCTTGCTTTGCTTACATAACTCATTGTTTGGAGTGGGCTAGAAATAACCACAAATCCCCATTGCTAATTAGCCTCATCCTCATGACTGATTAGTTAAGATTATGAGCCTAGAAGGAGGGCAGAGAGGAGTCCTAGTGATGAGTCACAGGATCACTGAATTTTAGAGCTGGATGGAATCTTAGAGTTTAAGGCATCTTTCAGTTAGAATTCTGTGGTTTTGCATCTTCAGCGTTGGAGAATTATGAAAGGTTGACTGCTTGCTCCTGCTCCTTTTGGAAAAAATTCCTAAGGATTTGGTGATAGCTTTGAAAAACAAATTAAGAATAAAGAAAAAACCCAATCAGTGACGACTATGAGTAACCCATTATGGGGGATCGAAAGAAGAATTGGAAACTTGATACATCAATGGGCCATAGAAGAGCAGGGAATATTAATGAACATGAAGGGGGTTCTTCTTTGGAGGTAAGTAAGCAGAGTGGATTTTTGGAACTCCCTCCTCAGCAGCTGTGCAGTTTGTAAGGATTTTAGCTTGCCTAACTGTAAGCTTAGCTATTAGCTTTGCAGTGGGGAGTATTTAAAAGTACACAGAACATATGAAGGAAAGAACCTGGAACTGAGTAGCCTGCTTCATTCCAAGAATCCATCTGGCATTTAAAGAACTGCTTGTCCTACATTAAACCCTGCAGAGTAAGAGCCATTTTTCATAGCCTCATACCCCTATTTTTGGTTTCTTTGGTTTCAGGTAAGACAGCTTACTGAGTTTGGGGAAGGAACAAGGAGACTTCCGAACCACGGAACCAAAGGACTCATTTTGTGCTCGATGAATCTAAAATGGGGAACACACGTTGAAGCCTGTTTGGGAAATCAGCTTAAGAGCAATCTCAAGTCTCCACAAGAGGCGGAGGTCCATATTCCAAAATAATGTGAACCTTCAGTTATTTGTTGACAGAATACAATGGAAGAAGAGGTGTTATAGATACGAAAAATCGTGGCTGGATTCACCATTAAATGACTCATGGTGATGGGGTAAGTTGACAAGTGAAATAATATCTCTTCCTAAAAAACGTATCGTTGTAATGAAGAGCTCGTTTTTGCAGCTTCAGTTCGTCTGGAGGCATCGAATAGCAAACGCTGCCAAAGGAGTAGTCCCTGGATTACCAGGAGTTGCAGAGTGTGTAAAGTGTTGTAAACCTGAAATTAGTCCTGGACTGCAGGCATTTTCCCTTCTCCCAGACTCGCTTCCCTATTACACATTTCCCCTTTCAAGGGAGTCTGTGGCACTCAGGTCCACTCAGCTCAGGCCTCAAGCACGCGGGACCAGGGGCTACCACCTTAACTGGTCACTCCTTGAGGGACAGCACCAGGCCCGGGTGCTGGCGCCGACATTGAGCGGCGCCCTCTCGGTTACCATGGCGACCGCGGGTGGGGCGGGGCCCCCACTCGCCGCTTCCCCGCCTCTGCCCAGGACCTTTCGAACGCTCCAATTGGGACAACGCTTTCTTGCCTCTGTCCCGCCCCGTTCGGCTCCGAGCGCTTTGCGATTGGCCCTGGACGAGCGGCCTGGTACCCAGAGGGCAACACCTCCTGACCGGAAGAGCGGGAAAGTGCACCAGGCGTTGTCCGAGGCGTGAAGCTCACGAGTGCGGCGGGGGGAGTACACAGTTGGCTTTGGAGCAAGTTGTCCTCTGTCCCATACACAAGCCCCGGCGCCCATGACTGCCAACAGCAGGGAGTAGGCGTCGGGGTCCCGGCACAGCGTTTCTAGGCCGGCCAGGTCCATCTCCGGGGGCGAGGACGCGACAAGGATGGAGCGAGAATCAGGCGGCGCACTTCGAAGCGCCGGGGCAACAGACAGGCCAGAGGGGACGGGCCGGGCCGCGGGGGCGGTGCCGGCGGCGGCGGCGGGAGGCGCAGGGCCCAATGAGCGCGCGCACCGCCCCGGGGGCGGGGCCTGAGGAGCGCTCCCCCGCCCTCGCCCGCCCCGCCCCTCCCCCCGGCGCGGGGCCGCAGTGAGTGAGTGGCACTGGCAGCCTGTCAATCCCTCAGCCCAGCGGCCTTCCAGCCTGGTCCGCGGCGGCTGCTGGCTGGGTGCGCGGCTCCGGCGGCGGCGGCGGCGGCGACTTCTCCCGCCCCTTCCATCCGCTGTCCACTCGACGCGTGGCCCGCTGCGGCCCTCCTCCGGGCGCCGCGCCCCCGCCGCCTCAGCCCGCCCGCTCCCAAACTTTCCTCCTCCGCCCCCCTCGCTCCCCGCGGCCCGCCCGCAGGCCTCCTTCGCCGCCGCCGCCCGCCGCCGCCGCTGCCTCCCCCGGGGCCGCCAGGGCTCGGATCCCGCCCGGCCGAGGCGGCGGCGGCGGGCAAGGAGGACAGTGCGCAGGCTGGCGCGGGGGGCGGCGGGCGTCCCGGCAACTCGGCCGGCGCTGAGGAGCAAGTTGCTCGGGGCCGCCCGGCGGGGCGCGCGGCGGCGAGGAGGCGGCGCGGCGGCCGCGTGAGGGCAGCGGACGCCGCTGCCTCCGCCTCCACCACAGCCGCGGAGCCGGGCGCTTCCGCCCGCCGCTTCTCCTCAGGTTCGGCGGCGGCGGAAGCCGGAGCCGGGCGCCGGTCCGCATCGCCTCAGCCGCGGGCCCTGCTGGCCGGGCCGCCTCCTCCCCACGCGGGCAGGGAGCGCGCGGCCGCCTCCCCCTCCCCCTCCCCCTCTTTCTTCTCCTCCCTCGCCGCCGCCGCCGCCGCCGCCGCCTCCTCAGCCTTCTCCTCAGCCGCCGCCCGCTCCCGCCCGCGCGCGGCGGGATGGACGATCAATCCAGGATGCTGCAGACTCTGGCCGGGGTGAACCTGGCCGGCCACTCGGTGCAGGGGGGCATGGCCCTGCCGCCTCCCCCGCACGGCCACGAAGGGGCGGACGGCGACGGCAGGAAGCAGGACATCGGCGACATCCTCCACCAGATCATGACCATCACCGACCAGAGCTTGGACGAGGCGCAAGCAAAGTTGGTGTCGTCTCATTAAGCATCTTTTGTGTGTGTGCTGGTGCCGGGCCCGCGGCCGAGTCGGGGCCGGGGGTGGCGCCCGGGGCCGGGGCCGCAGCCCCAGTCGAGGAACTTTCTCTGAAAGCCGGCCGCCCGCCCGGGCCTCGAGGGGGACTCGCCCGAGCCCCCCTGAAGCGGGCGGGAGTCGGCAAAGTTGCTCTGGGGGGATCAGGACGGACTCGGTGCGGCACGGATTCAGTGGCGTCCTTTCCCCCGTCCTGCCCCTAGCAGCCCGGCCCCCTCCCACGGATTTAAACCTCCGCTCCGGATCCCCGTGCCGGCCGCGCCACCGGGAAGTGCAACTTTCTCTTCTGGCCGGGAGTCCCGGAGCCGACTCCCCGTGGCTGCGGGACGACCTCGCCATGCTTACGGGCCTCCCGGTCCCGGCGCGGGGCGATGGGCAATTCCCTGGCGGGTCCGGGTGCGGACGGCCAAGTTCTCGGGAAGGGAGGGCCGCCTTGCAAACTTTGCCGAGCTGTCACCCGCCCGCTGGCCGCAGTCGGCCAGCCGGCCGCGTCGCGCGCCCGCTCCCCCTGTACAGGAGCCGTCTCGGGAGCCCCCTCCCCACCAGTTCTCTCCCCTGGTTCACCTCTGCCAGACCCCGGGGCGATGCTCCCCGAGTGGGTTCGCGTCTGCGGTGGCTGACGCTGCTGCCTGTAGGGCAGATGTGTCCGCCTTGTTCTGGCTGCAGCTTTCGCCGCCGGGACTTGCTGGCTGTCGGGCACTAGTCAATTGGAGTTTTTGTTGACTTCCCAGGGTTCAAAAGGGCCTTCCAGAATGGGGGGCCGGAATTAATTCTTGGGTCTAACTTAAAGGAAGGCGCCATATTATTCCATAGGTGATGCTAATACCTTTGTGTTTTGTTATTTGTTTTTTAGGAAACATGCTCTGAACTGTCATAGAATGAAACCCGCGCTCTTCAGCGTCCTGTGTGAGATCAAAGAGAAAACAGGTAAGACGCTGTACCCCGCAGTGGGCCTGGAGACCCCCAAGGTGGGGGTCGGAGCTACTCCTTCGACTCTCCAGTTGAGAGCTGCTGCTTTTGGGCACCGCCATCTTTGATCATTCTCTCCTTCCCACGTCCTGATCTTGAGAAAAAACTGCAATAAATCTGGAGTCGATTTCTCAGTTCTGCTCCTAGTGTAAAATGAAGTGTAGGTATGGACCGGGCTGGGTCGCTGTCCCTAGGCAGCCACCCCAGGCTGCAGGCGGGGAGGGGGTCCGGAGCGCCAGCCGCCCTCTCTCCTTTCGCCTTGTTTGTGTGTCAGTTTTTAAAAGGAGCAACGGGAGACTGGATGCCAGGACCGAGTCCCCGGGAGAAGCATCGCCCGAACTTTGTTGTACTTAGACAATCTTAAGCTTCAGCTGCAGGGTTAGAAGAATAGATGCAATTGAACAGACCCCGGTAGCATGCTTGAATTAGTGTTTTAGGTGGGAAGACTATTTTAGAGAATTGAGGACCGGTAATGATGTGTAGATATATACAATGTATTACACCTGTTAATAGTTTTATTATTTTGTATCCTGAAGTCGTTACACTTGTAACTGTGCTTTTAATATATAAAGTCTATAAAGGTCTACAGATGGCAGGTTAAACAATTTTGAAGTGTCCAAATCAGGGAATATATAAGAAGATAGGTTTTGCAGAAGTGCTGGAATGGAAACTACAGGTACATATTAGGCAAATTTTTGGCAATTCGTTTCAATTTAACTTTCTTGTCAGACTTTTTTGATTGAAGGTCTTTTAGTCTTGAAGTGAAGTAACTGCTCAAATTGAAGTAGAGATTTAATTTGGATGTTTTAGTTTGTATTTGGCATTATCTTCCCTGTATGTGGCAAACAAGTACATTAAACAAGCTCTACTGTTGATTTTTTTCCTGTTCTTTTCTTTCTTCTTTCTTTTTTTTTTGTGTGTATGTTGTATATATGGTATTTTAAAGTTGCAGTTTTGAAAGTTGAGGCAAAGGAGAAAAAGTTGAAGTCCAGGATTTAGCAGTATCCAAGGGATGCTATTTAAAAGGTTAAATGTGATTGTGTTTAAATTGAGTGTACAAATAGCACAGTGCAAATAATTGTTAGGTTGATAGGCGAGTCGGCTTTCTTTGAAACAGATTTTTTGCTTTTCAGTACTATTTGGATCCTAAAAGTAATCAAGAAAAGATGATAAGTTATTGCTGTCTGTTAAACATACATGGTAAATCATAATAAACAGCAAATAGTAAGGGAGCCTAAACAGTACTTTTCCTGCTTTTCATTCACATATTATGGCTGGTTTCTTAATGCTCAGTGATCCTTTTTTGAATTACTAACTTTTATTTTGTGCTGATTTTTAGCTACCTTTAGAAAGCGTTGTGATTTAAAATAGTAGATAATTTTTATCTGACTGTAAAATAAGACATCCAGCATTAAGTCGTGAAGATTCTTAGTTTAGAAGCTTAAAAGTGTGCAATTCTCAGTAAACTCTGTTGCTTAATGTCCAAGGGTTTTCCTGCTATCAGGGCTCCACTTCAGTTTCTGCTGACAACTAAGCATGGGGTATTGACTATGTTGTGAATATTAGATTGATTTAACTTTATACAGCTTTATATTACGAGGGAGAAGGGGTGGATACTTATCGCTTCTCATCCCCTTCTTATTATTTATATTTATTTATGTATTTTTGCCTTTTTAAAGTTTTGGACTAGCTAGCTTGAGGTCTAAACCCAGCAAACTGCTTTTCATGTTGAGACATTTAGCAGCAGGCAGAATTCAATTAGAAAACATAAGTCCTTTAGTTACTTATTTGCACAGGACTTAGTTATACTATTCTGAAAGGATAGTATAGTCAACCACATGTCAAAGGTGAGTTACAAGAAAGAAACAAGTCTTTTCAGAGTCTGGGATTACTGGCAGGGAGAGCTTTGATAGGGCTGTTGCTATTTAAAAAGCAAGAGGCAGCTGACAAAAGAAATTTTTGTGTTTTAAAATTGTTTCTGGGGCTCTCAGTGATAACTTGTAAATTAGATCCTCTTTTTGTGCTTTGGCCAGTGGATCCACGTTTGCATGTTATCTCTTTTGTAAAAAGCCAACAGCCTACAAAGAGTAAATGCGGCTGTCTGGGCAGAGGCATCTTCCTGCCAGCCTAAGCTCGAGAGTAACGGGATTTAAGTAGAGTGATTGATAGGGGTGAAGCTGTTTCTCTCCTCTCCTTTCTCCCCTACTATCCATAGCTTCACCTTACCCTCCAAAACTAGTCTTAGAATGAGACAGGGATTCAGAATCCTCATTTTAAAATAAAACAGCTGTGCAGACATTAATGTTACCAAAGCAAAGAAGCAGGGCAGCAAATTCCAAGCCCCCCAACCCCTCCTGCCATAGTTATGCTTCAGAAACATGAACTTACAAAAGAAACATCGTAGAATAGTTGGATATTGCATCAATTTTTTTTAATCATTTCATTTAATCTAATAATACCTGCAGATTAATTCTTTATAATCTAGAGAAAGTTTACCTAGTCATTTATGAATAGAAACCAGGAACATTATGTTGATGACTCTATTCTGCATAATGGGGGCTTGAGGGTGAACTGTCACTTCAGTGGTTAATGTCATTTCAGTTGTGCTTTTCTTCTAAAATAAGACAAAATCATTAAAAAAAAAACCCATTTATTTGTAGATCTGCCAGTAGATTTTGAGGTTTCGGATCAGACAGTGAACACTGCCAGTTCTGATGCACATGGGGGATTTAGTTTAGAAAACATCTGTTTTTCCCCCCTACCAGATATGAAAAGATATTTTTCCCTTCTGACAGATAAATGGTTCATCTACTACAATTATATTATTTTCTTGTTGAGAGGTAAGGAAAGTATACTTTTACTAGAAGATGCTGCTTTTTCTTGAGAATGTATTCTTTTGTAAAATTTATACCATTATTTTTGGGCAGAAATGTCTCTCATTGTTGAATTGTGATACTTGTGCATTTTGAGAGCAACTGAAAAGTTGTAGGCTTTAAAATCATGATAGTTGTTTATTTTAAACTAAGTAACCAGTGAGATAATTGTTAATATGTTAAGATATTCTCCTGATTTTTAAAGCCATGTTTTATCATCTGTCTCTTATTAAATATCCCTGATGCCACAGGGTTTGCTCACCTGCATATCTCTTTTGGTGTTTTCCTGCACCTTTTTTTGGTTACCTTAATCTTAATTGTTGAAGTGCTTTCCTTTGTGAAATATTTCATCCTCAAAAATCTGCCTTCTTTTCCAAAGCCCTTAATTATGAGATTTTAAGTGAAGGAAATAGTTCTTTTTCAAGAAAAAAATATTTATTTTTAAATGAAATCTAATATTTTAGTAGATAATATGAATCATAATATTGTGACAAATGTTATGAATGAAAAAAATCAACACAACCTTTTCCTTTTTAAACTATAGGTTAAAATACTCTATGTTGATGGCTGCCAACCAAACTCTGATTTATTGCCACCACAAACCCTAAATAGCATTCATTTACTAGTAATGTCTAATGGCATACATGATGGTTTGCCAGATTTGTAGCCT